CCTCATCGGACATCAAGGGCGGAGGGAGAGCAATTACTAACTGTCAAACTCGAAAACTACAGGAAATATGAGACGATCAGGGACCATGTAGCCACTCAATGGTATCATCAACATCAGCTCGAAATAAACCGCGAATGTTCGCGAACAATCCATAGAGCACTTCGATAACAGAACGAGTGATAGTCTGCGGCAACTGAGATGCAAGTTCAGGTGGATGATGATGGGAGGGGTACATACTTGTACGAGTATAAGGTTCGGCAGTTTGAAATGCATAGCTAGCATGAAGAACATTCCCATGGCCAGATGCTCAGCTTTCGACATGTTGGCGAGTCGGCTGAGCCCTAATGAGGAGGAGAGTGAGGAGCGGTAAAGTTAGAGAGGCTGTTCACATGGATGCTTCTCCCGCATGGCGTGCTCGTTCTCTGCCTTGAGCCTCTCGAGCTCTTCATGCCATCTGGGAGGGTTTTCATCCAACAACAAGTTCAACCTCGGAGGCCTACGCCTGCTCTCTGCGCTGGTCCGCCTTAGTTGTGATTGAATCCGCGCACTGACTCGCCTGAAAGGACTCATAAACGAACGATGGCTGCCTCTCCGGCAAGCAGCTACTGCTAGTGCCAATTCCACGGTCGTAGAGGAGGAGGCATCGTTCTTTCTCAGAGAGGCCAATAATCTCTTCAGCTCGTCTAGTACCTGTATACTCAGCAGAGGAGCCATCCAATGCCGAGTTCAAGGCAGGGAGAACAGCGAAGGCAAGCCAAAGGTTTACTATCGGGTCCTTCAGATCCAGGCCAAATCGATCCATCACATCTTTACAAAGAGCATCATCCGGCTGGCCAGTCTCGGGCAACTGTAGCGGCTAACCATTAGAAGCCAATGAACGCAGTGTGACACCTTCACTGACGTCTCTTGGTGCACTAGACTCTATAAAGGCTCGGTGCTTGTCACGAAGCTGAGAAGATGATAGTTGACGAGGACAACTTCACCATCGTCTATGGAGTCACTTCGTTGATATAAACATCCATGTTGGTGGCCTCGTCCTCTTCCCCCCTGCTGCGATGGATGTCTCTGAACACTGAAGAAGTATCGATACGCACCAGCTGGTCATGTAACCTCAACAGATGAGCATCTTTTAGCCGCGATTCGACATCATTCCTCAACTTGTCCATTTCGCTATCCTGAAGAATATAAATTCACCATGCAGTCTGGCCTCATGAGATGGATGTCCGTCAAGAAGACCAGAAGACTACACCAAAGCACCTGAGCCTGTGAAGAGGAGGTGTTGGCAACATCGACAGATGTGAGGGGTCCGCGAGCTGAGAGATTGAGGCACTCATATTCAGCTTAGTGCCATGAGGCATTGCTGAGGAAAACTACTGCACCATCCGGAATAAGTCTTCTTCTCTTCACTCCGCGTCATCGACCTCTGCGTTCGCAACCGTCTCAGTAGGGCCGCCACCTCCTAAGAGGCAGAAGGCTCTGCCTCGGCCAGCATCGTCTTTCGAGTACTCTATTGTGCGGGTCTATCTCTAGTGCTTTGCGGAGATGCTCGATGGCTTCATCCGCCTCCGCATCGCCACAGCTCATGGGCTCTACCAGGCACTTGGCCTTCCTGCCAGGACCGTCTTTCCTTCCCAAGAGATACCCTCGTTGAGGGCCAGCCTGGGGCTACCGGAACAAGGCCTTTACGTTGGTGCTATCTAGCTGTAATATAAAGTCGCAAGTACGGCAAGCTTCTGGTAGCATCTCATTCCCTGAGTATGAGCATCGACTTAGTCACTTTCCAAGGGGTCCTGGCCCACCTAGCTTAATCAGACACATGGTGATGTTGCTGTAGCACTGCACTCTGAACTCCTTTATTCTGGCCTTATCCTCCTCACCTAAAGGATACGAGTCATGGTGCGCATCGTATACTGTCTATCTATAATTCTGTACGGAAGCGGCACAAGTCATTTCCAAGTCCAACAGCGTCGCTGACTTGATGTCGATATGCTAGTAACTTCAAAAGAGCTCTCTATTGGGCTTTCTAGTTAGCCCGAATGCTACTACCACAACGAACGGCCACAAGACGAGCTGAGTTACTGCACAGCTGGACTCATCTTCACGAGGAATGATCATGTGTACACATCGGTAGAGGCTCTCACTTTTCCCCAAGTCGCTAACAAGCACGAGGTAGTCATCGTTGAGCCCCTCTGTCCTCCAATTCCTGTTGAGTATCCTAGCGTAGTAGAAAAGACCGGCAGCCTGACTGTATCTGACTTTCCCTCTCCTCATCCCAGCGCGAATCTCCCCACCTAGTCATAGCGAGGAAATATTCCCCTTTAGCGTACAAGTCGGTGGCCTCGGCCTTCAACCTGTTGTGAGTTTTCCTCAAAGGGACGGGTTTATCTTCTCACTTGAGTGCAGCCACTAGTCTTTGAGCATAGGGTAATGCTCGGAGGTTGTCGAAAGAATCCTCAGTTACAAACAGGGGTGGTTTGTTCTCTGCTTCACACAATCATCTCCACCACTATGCTTCTCTACCTTGCTCATGCCCCATGAAGGCTGTATGCTGTAGAAGCATCGGCCAGGATTCGAACCTGCGACCTATTCTTCTGCGACAGCAACAGGTCACCATCGAACCTTTTCCTCCTCGCGCTCGACTGAGCCCCCTTTAGTTTGGCGGCATCCGACAGGACTCTGCTCAATGGGTCCTCCCCCATGAAGGATTACGTTTCTCACTCGAGCCACCACTGCGTTGGTATATAACACTGGACAGAACACCACACCCAGTCGTCAGAGCAACAACAACAAATACAACCATTTCATGGTACGGGAATACTGTGGCAGCAGCACATACGTATCAAACTAATGCCATCGATGGGAGCGGAATTCGTTCCCGACGAGCCTCGAGGGAAGTCGAGCATAAAAAACATTGAGAGAAAATGAGCTGATAGCGGCAAAGGCCTCCTATTAGTGAATCATGCCTGCTTGGCGGCGTCGTCGATGAGAGCCTTCCTCTCCTCCTCGGAAGACTGGTCTACGTCTTCCTCGTGTTCAACCCACTCGACTGCACAGGTGTCGAGGGACGTATTCCTCGCTTCGTCAGGGAGAGGCATTGCGACAACTGAGAGGACGTCAGTACAGAGACAGCCGGGTACCAAAGTCGACCACTCACTGGTGCAGACAGCGAAGAGGAACGCTAATGCAAGAGAAAAGGGCCAAGTCCGAGTCTGGTTTGCCGGGGGACGGGAGTCCATCACATCATCACTCAGACTACCCAACCCTTCGAAGATGAGAGGTACCTGTCGTTACACGCTCAGCGAAAGACCTGGCCGTGAGTCCTACCACAGCAGCGCCAATTCTCCCCCAACTCATACAGAAACCACTACCGGTCGTCCGACAGAAGGCGGGGTAGATCTGCAGCCCAAGAATAAGCGTGTCACTAGAGGTCCAGCCCTTACATGAGGAATATAGACGTATACTGTGCTCAGGAAAGGCTGGCTAAGGAAATTGTAGAGGAATGCCAACATCAGACCGACGATGGGAGCGGCAAGGTCCAAAGATATCATTCCCAGGCTCTGAGAGACGGGGTACTCCCTGTGAACAATCTGAGGATATTAACTCACCAGAAGCGCTGCAACAAACGCAGAGGCAGCAATGACCCCCTTCAAGCCTATAGGAAACTTGTCGACGACTACGAGGCAGGAGAGGCCATCCCCGACCACCCCAGCTATGGTGATGAGAGAAAGGGAGAGGGCTGGGCTTGGGCCGCCAGCAGCATCCCAACCTAGACCACAACTAAGCAATAAGACGTGACCTGGAGCGTACCTCTATCAGCCATTTGGCGGAGGGCTATCGGCAGCATATAGGCGACTCCAACAAAGGCGAAGTTGCCGGTGAAAGTGAGGAAACAGAGGGCTACTGTCGCCCAGCCGGTACCTGCGGCAGGAATTGAGAAAAGGGGTAACGTTGACCTGGTTACGCTTGGCGAAAACGCCAGATATCCTTCCGGTGAAGGAGTGCTTCTCGTCATCAACAGGGACATCAGCTGGAATAACGGTGTCCTGGGAAAAGCAGCTATGCTGGCAGGGAAAAAGACGGTTGGAGCACTTCACTAAGGTCCAACAACTTCTCGGAGGTGCCGTTGCATCGACCCATCTCCTTCAGGAGAGTAACCAACTCCGTTATTCGATGGTGACAAAGAAGATAGTAAGGCGACTCGCGTAGAAGGCAACTGAGGGAGAGAATTCTCCTGAGGTCAATTTCTGTGAATGGGGACGTACACAGCGAATGGAAGGCATGCTAGTGCTGGCAGGATGGCAAGGGCACTGACCCAGCGCCAGTTGTCACCGTGGAGCCGCAGGTCCGGCATCAACCACCATAGAAGAGCCTATAAGGGGGAGGGTGGGGGATGACGAGCCGAGAGACACTCACCGTGACCAGCAGCTGGCCGGCAGAAAACATTCCAAGGATGAAGGCAATAACAACATTGCGTTTGGTAGAAGGGGTGCATTCCAAGAGAAGGGTGAGAGTACTGGGAGTCACCACACCTACGAGGAAGCATGACTTCCTGCTCAGCACTGAGGCAATCACCGTAAGACAAGCCAACGAATATCCTTGTGATCATAAGGCCGTCTACTGTGTTGACAAATGCTGAGAACACACCTGCTACGACCATGACGATGTACCTGGGCCGGGGAGGTCGTTCGGAGATGAAGAGAAGTAGTCCTTACGATGTGAGGATGGCAGGTCGACGGCCCACGACATCGGCAATGTGGCCGGCCATGAGGCTGCCAAGTAACACTCCGACGAATGGAACAGATACCTGATAATAATCGCTGCTTTCTCGGAAGGAAAGAGATAAGGCCGACAAGGGATCCTCGTATCCAATTGGAGAAGTGCCACTCCTCTTGAAGGGCCTGTAGTATGCTAGACATCAATACGACT